TGAACAGAAGGACCCCGAGCCCTCCCCGGGGTCACCTTCCAGCCCTGGGACCCTGTCAGAGCCTCGGCCCCTCGCGAGGGGCGACCTTCAGCAGCCACCGCCCCAGAAATGGGATCTAAGGAAAGGAGGAAAGACATAAAAGTGTCCTGGATTTAGCTGGAATAAAAGGGATGGGGAGGTGGCGGAGGGGGAAGAAGAAAGGAGATGAGAACAATCGCTTGTGCTGGGACCTCATTTTATTGCAAAGAAAATACAGAGGCACTGGGGGTGGGGGGTGTGACAGTGTCCCCTGCATGGGGGAACTGAGGCAGGCCACTCCATGGACACTTTCCGACCCAGCTTTCAGACAATTCCCACAGGAGAATCCTGCAGCAGCTCAGATGCAGCCAGCAAAGCACCTCCTTGATGCTACTGCTCCAGAGGAGGACAGTGGGTGCAGGGTCTGCCCCACAAGTTTGGGTTCCAGGTAGGAGCAGTGTCCCCAGCAGACCCCCCCAGCCTCTCCCCTGCCTGGGCAGCAGCCCAGGCTCTCCTCACTCAGGGGCAGTCCTTTATAACAGCCCACAGGGATTTACCTGGATTTACCCAGAGCTCCAAACACCTGAGCACAGCCACGTGCAGAGACAGAACTGGAGCCCTCCAGCTCCAGGTCCATGAGCAGACTGGAGGAGAGGCCAGTGGCCCAGTCACACACTCATGGTGCAGGGTTCCACCATGCTCCATGCTGAGGGCTCAGTTCCAACCCTTCTCCTCCAGCCTCCCAGCCTTGCTCCCACCTTGCCTGGTGTCAGCTGGTCTCCACCCCAAACATCCCCTTAAACCTGAGCTGCAGAACCTGCTGCTGTTCCCACTTTAAACCTATCTCCAGCTGCAACAGCCTCTACGTTTGTATTTGTGACCTTGGTGCAAAGAGTAATGACTCTGAAGCAACTCTGGTGCAATAAACTGTTCAAATTCCTAAGAAAGAGGGTCTGCTCTGGTTTCACACGACAAACCAGCCGTTCTGAAGGAGGAAGCACCTATGAGACACTGCTAGCAGCATCTTCAGACTAAACCACTCCCCATTCCTCCATTAGCCAAACATCCAGGGAGCTGGACGAGCAGGACCCACTGGGCACCAGAAACAAGCCATGCAGAGGCAGGACACCTAATCCCTGCTCCATTTCCAATTCATATGCCCCAGCAAAAGCCATTCCCTGAGCTCCCTGCTCCTCTCACCACTGGCCAGGGAAGCAGCTCGTGTACACACCGAGAACAGATCCCACATCCATTTCTCACTTCTCCAGGAATCCACTCAGATGGGTCTGTGACCAGACCCATCCCTCTGCAGTGAGTCTCACGTGCTGGGAGCAACGAGCTGCTGAGGAAGTTAGAGGAAAAGATGACAGGGGCAAGAGGAGAAACAAGCATTTTTGCAGCCCACCGCACAGAAGAGGTGGAAGCTAAGACAGCAGCTGGCTGCCAGCTAAGAGGAGGGTGCACGCAAGCCTGTGGGAAGGGCTCCCACACAGGAGCTGGCAAACAGTGGCCTGTAGGGCCCACAGAGTGTTTAAAGCTTCCCACAAGACCCAGTCACTCCTGAGTGCTGCTGCTGGCCAGCACACCCCCCAGCTCGGGCTGTGGGGCAACGCTGGCTCCTTCCAGCCCTGCACACACCCGGGAACCTCACTGGCCAATGTGAGGCCACCGTGGGGGCTGGGGCAGCCTCTTCCTCCCCCACGACCACTGCTGGAGCATTCAGCCTTCAGAGGAGATGACAAATGTGCCCTTCAGTGCGACCCTTTGTCTGCTAAAAGGCCAGAGGTGCTCCTGAACTTCCAGGCTCGAACGCGTGACAGCGAGGACGCAGGACACAGCCCAGAAGCAGCAGATGACAGCTCTCTAAATGCAGCACGAGGACTGTGAGTGCAGCTGGTTCTCCACCATCTGTCCCCAGCTTCCACAAGAGAAGGTCCCACTGAAGGTCTTAAGATTTTATTTCAGTTCAGGCCTTTCCCCAAAAGAATAATATATTCCTCTTCAGCCCACTAGATCGATTCCATCATCCTGTTTCTGGATGCAACAAAGGTGCCAAGATACCCACAGGGGAAATCAGGACTGGTTTCTCCACGTCACCAGAATGCTCAAGGGCTGTTAGAATGTAAAGAGCTCAAGTCTTTAAGTCCACCTTGAGCTTCAAACGGACATCACACAGGAAAGCATTCATCAGGTCCTGGCCAGCCTCCTGAGCAATCCTGCTGATAACCTTACCTCCTCTTCCAATCAACATCGTCTGTATAAAACCCAGAAAGAAGATCATCATACTCACCCTCACGTTGCTTAACTATGGAGAAGAGTCACCCAGGAAAACCACAGTGCAGCCACAGAAGCAGTTGAAGGGGATAGTGCAGTTAGAGAATCACAGAATCCCAGCACAGCAGGGGCTGGAAGGGATCTCTAGAGAGCATCTCACCCAAAGCAGGGTCACCCACAGCAGGGTGCCCAGGATCACATCCAGGCAGGTCTGGAATCTCTCCAGAGAAGGAGACTCCACAGCCTCTCTGGGCAGCCTGCTCAAGGCTCAGGCACCCCCACAGGAAAGAAGTTTTTCTTCACGTTCAGGTGCAAATCCCAAGATCAAACCATGGGCACCTTCAGGAGGGTGTAAGCTGTTACTGACCAGCCTGGGGCTGTGTCAGACACCCAGCTACTCCCAGCAGAGACTCCCCCCAGCTGAGGGAGAGGGGGTCACAGCAGGGGCACACGTGGATGAACTTCGGGAACCCCCCTTTGCCCTCCCCAGTGCCCCATCTCTCTCCTGTTACTCACCATATGAGACTTCCTTGGGACCAAGAGATTCTGCACGATGAGGAGCTCCCCACTTGGTCCTTCCTCCCACATCTCCGTCACCTGCAACAGCAAGTGCACCCTCAGCACCTCTGCCAAGCACCCTGGGGACCACAAACACCATCCCCTGAGCTGCCAGCTCAACTCCCTGACAGGAGCAGCTAAGGGTGGCCCCCTCCCAGCACAAAAAGGGTCTCACAGCACCCAACGTGCAAGTCTCAAGTCACCCCACAGGGGCTGTAAAGAGCCTGGCAGATTTCACAGACTCCAGCAAAGGGATTCTCTTCATGTAGCCTCATACTTCCAATAAAGCAGCTCAAAGACAAGTGTGCCTGCATGTGCTTCCCACCTGAGTCACGCCGTAGGGCACTTCCAGGGGCAGGTACTCCAGGATCTTCTCCCTGATGATATTATCACAGATCTCCTGAGGTGACTGGCTGGTCAAGACCCTGCTGTGAAACTCCCAAGGGCCAGGCTTGGCTTGCATCAGGAGGTATTGCTGCCAGGACAGAACACACCCCACACATGTCAGCTGCCACGTAGCACTCTCGTGGTGCCACCAACCCCTGTGGTCAGCCTGCAGCAAGTTGCTGTGAGAACACTGCTGCTGGCTCAGGCACCAGGACATGGTTTAGAGTCTTCACTGGGGTAAGGAAAAGGGGCAATTTCTGAAACTCAAACCCTGCCAAAGGGTCACATCTCCCTAGAGCCATCTATCAGTTACAAAAGCCCACAGTGTCCCTTGCAGAGCTGGGTGGCTTTGTCATTATGCTGTTTGGAGAGCCCCAAGTAAGAGTTCTGTACAGAAAACTGAGGAGACACAGTGTGGACACACTCCCTGTTGACAAACACTTCCCTCACATCCTAGGCCGAGAACAGCAGCTCTGCTGCTTCCTCACAGAAGATGAGCTCAGTATGAAGCACTGGGATCCCACAAGGGTAAGAGCACACCAGCCCCAAAGCATAACAGAAGCTGAGACTGCAGTTACCTTGAGCGTATCCACCTCCTCCCCATGGAGAGCTGCCAGCATGAAGATCTCCTGGAAGCAGGGCCAGCCTCTCCTGGCTTTCAGATCTCTGGGTTCATAGTGCTTTGGCCCTTGTGCTTCTTCTGTGCCAACAGAGGAGTCAGATGCTCTCACATCACTGCTGCTGTCCAAGCTACAGTCTTTTTGTGCTTCATCTGTTTCCTGCAGACAGTGAGACTCAGGGGTCCTGTTCTCAGGTGGAGAAGTCCAAGTGATTTGAAGAGGAGACTTTGCTGAAGAATCAGAATTCTGTTTAAATCCAGATCTCGCTTCCAGTTTCTTTCCATTTACAATGCCCTCTGTTAGATCATTTACTAGTTCCAGCAGGATAAACTTCTTCTTTAGCAGATCCACCTGAAGTGAGAGCAAGACACATCAGGAATTTGTCCTAAATGAGGTTGGCAGCTGCGCCCTGGATCTGAAGGAGCCAGAAGAAACCACCCGGGGGAGGCAGCTGCTGCAGGACAAGGCTTCTGTGGCAGAAGCAGCAGCTTTAGGCACCAGTGTAACATGCTGCAGAAGGCAGAAAGAACAAGCTCTTCATTTACCTTGTTCAGAACCAGGACACTGGGGATCTGGGGAAACTGGGAAAGACACTTCAGCACCTCCTTGCTCAGAGAGTTTCGTGTCCAGTGATCCGACACGTCCACCAGAACCAGAACTGCCAGAAAAAAGAGAGGGCAATATGATGGACCTGCATTGCCCAAATTGTTTGTTTGCAGCTTCTCTACAGTCTGTGGTCACCTCCCTCCTGCTGCTACTTCTCTCTCTTCCACAGAAGAGCACATGGATGGAATCCAAAAGGTTCCAAAGACCAATTATTAACCCAATCTGCCTCCCCTTGGCACCAGGCAACCCTTACCCCTCCTCACCTTAATATTTCAAATATTCTTACTGCCCTTCCCTCCCACCTCACTCTCTCAAGGCTGTCTGCTGCCCAGTAAAGATCTACAGCTATAGGGCTGTAAAGTTTTGTGGCAGATAAAGGGTTTGGCTTGATCCAAGAGCAGCTGAGTACCCACCTAAATCTGCATGTTTCATGCTGTCCCATGGGTCTGTCAGCATAGCTTTATCTAATTTATGTCTGAAAGACAAATGCAGATGTGTAAATTAGACACACTTGATCACAGTCATCTTCCTTCCTCAGAGCAGAGTTAAAAACCAGTGTTCTCCATCATCCCAGCTGACACAAAGCTGCCTTGTGGGCTGTGACACCCCACACTGCACACAGATATAGAAATAGGGCTCAGGGGATGCCACAGGCTCATGTGCTATTGAAACTGCAACAAGAAAAGACTCAGAGACCAAAATAAGGCTAAAAATTTACATTCCAGTCACTCTTATTTTACCAACTGCCCAGTGGAAATCACGCTCTGGTTTTATCAAACCTCAACAGACAGGTGTCCCCACCCTTCTCCCCCAAAACAGCAGTGATACCTTTTGGCTTTAAAGGGATTCGTGAGGCCAGGTGTGTCCAGAATGACCTAGAAAGAGGCAAGACAGATGTTGTAAGTTTGCCTGTATTTAGTGGCCAAACTAAATCTTATATTTGTGCCATCAGAAGTGACCTCACGGGATACAAGTGAGAAAACTCTGCACCTTCTGGCTGACCCTCCCCCCTGCCCCAGGCATGAGCAGGTCCAGGAGTTTACCAGTTGTGTGTCCTCGTAGGTGACGACACCCAGGGCTTTGCAGCGTGTTGTGTGCACTTTCTTAGAAACAGGGAAAACCTGTAAGAAATTAAACACGTTACACTGTCAGAATACATCCAAAAAAAAGCGAGTTAGCAGCCCAAACTTGTTGCTCCACCCCAATTTTACCTTTCTGCCCAAGAGCTGATTAGAAAGTGTGGACTTCCCAGCGTTGGGTGCCCCAATAATGGCAATTCTTAAAACCTTGGGGTTCCGGGGCTGGTCGGGGTGATGCCGTAACAGTTGCTTTTGTTCCTCTGCCGGGGGAGAGAAGGAGCTTGAATGCCACTAAAACCCACAGTGGGTCGGGACTGCCCGGCCCAGTGCTGGGGCTAGGAAGCAGCTGGGACCACTCACCTTTGTTGACGGCCACGGGCGG